AACTGACAAGGATATCAAAGCAAGAATCGGAAAAGCAAGACAAGCTTTCACTACTCTCAAATCTGTGTGGAGGTCAACAACACTCAGCATGAAAATGAGAATAAGATCCGGATTTTCAACTCCAATGTAAAGTCAGTGCTACTATACGGATGGATCAGAGACTTGCACTGCGCGTCATAAAGAGCATCTCAAACAAACTACAGACCTTCATTAACAGTTGTCTTCGCTCAATACTCAAGATCAGATGGACGGCCAGAAAAGGTCAGCAACAGGGATCTTTGGGAGCGAACCAACCAGGAACCGATTGTGAGACAAATAAGCAGGAAGAAATGGAGATGGATTGGCCATACTCTGAGGAAACCATCAAGTGACATCACCAGACAAGCCCTTGAGTGGAACCCGAAAGGGAAGCGGCGAGTTGGTCGTCCAAGGGTGACTTGGAGGAGGTCATGTGAAGAAGAGATGAAAACTTGTGGGCAGACATGGAGCCAGGCGAAGACTCTAGCAGAGAAGCGAACGCAATGGAGACGCACGGCTGAAGCCCTATGTTCCTCTAGGAATTAAAGGATACAAATCCCCTTCACTGTCTTTAGAAGTTTGCAATGAAGAGTATACGGCAAATTACCATGATTTTTTTTTCCAAATAAATGACCTTAAAATCATCGTCAGGGTTAATTAACTTCACTGTTGTTATACAGTAAGTAATATTTACTGATGACCACCCGTTTCGAGCACAATCTATTGCCACTCGTAATCATATCAAGGCATCACTCACATAACTTTCTTGCTTTGTTTTTATAAATGCGTAAAAATTGATTAAACATATGAATAAAATCAGTATAAGAAGATAAAGTACATTCGGAAATAATAATATTAGTGTTATCAATCAAATACAATCAGATGGGAAATAAGACGAATGTTTTTATAGTAAAATAAATAAATAAGGAGTAATGAGATTATCAGAACATAAGAATTTAGCTAAGGTTAGAATGATTGGTTCCTCGAAGATACGTAATTTAGAGAAAAAGAACTCAGCAATAGCACTGCATGCATTAACACACACAACAGGATGGGATTGAGTCCAAATTCCAAGATGTAATATAACTAGATGGAGAGAGGGAGAGATTGATTACTGAGTCCTGTCTGGTTCATTGAGTCTACACCCACCAACACAGATACCAGAGATATGGAAGATATTATCACCACCAGTCAGTCAAATCAGAGGAGGATAATAAATAATGTTAAAATGTATTTCAATTCAATTCACATTATAACATTCTGACAAGTTATTTCTTTATTTTACTGTAAAAGACATCTTATTCAACTTTCCACGTAAAGACTACCACAAAACCAAGTAAACAAAGTGAGTGACGTAAAATTATTAACATGAATGAGTAGAGTTCAACTAGAACTGAAAAAGGTCGAATCAAGATTAGTATTAGATTAGGATCACATCACATAAGGAATAGAAGTACAATAATAATAATAATAATAATAATTTGCTTTATTCCAGAAACAGTACTAGTGGTACAGTGTGGAATTTTTAGCACATATCTACAATATTTGCGTCTAATTTTATCAAACATTTAAAAGGAGTATTTCAAAAAATAAATATATAAAGACACCAACAGCAAAAAAAACAGGATAAACACAAAAATAATTATAAATGCGAAAAAGTACGAAGAAGTAGAAATGAAAATAAACATCATATAATAATAACAACTCAGTATTGGGTAGAGGAAGCTATGATATGATTATGCATAGTGACAGTAAAGCAATAGTCATACAAGAAGTTATGAAATGATATTTAAGAATGTTTATCACCAAGAAGATCAGTTAATTTGGTTGAAACAACTCTAAACAATCATAAAATAACATTTCAGGGTTGTTTTTTTTTATCAGGTCTAATGCAGTGTTTATAGTGGTAGAGTGAGTAATCCTGCATAATATAAAATTTTTAAGGTGGTGACAATGGCGTTCACAACCAATGATTGTCAGTTAATATTGCCGAAAAGCATGGAAAATAAGAAAAAACAACCACAAAACTAATAATTACATGATGGTTAATGACAGGACAATTTTGTAATACTCATAGTGCTAATAGAGTCGGAACCAGTGGATACACAATAGAAAGAATATAGTAAAGTACAAAAAAGGAAGCCAGTGTTAATAATTTAGATAGCTAAGTATGTTTGAGAAGGAGTTCACTATAGAATACAAAATAAGGGAGAAATAAAAGAGCCTAAAATTATGTTGTTAATATCAAAGCAATAACCGTAAAAAGTAAAACAAAGAAATAATGCGTCAGTCAAATGTTTTAACAGAAATTCCGTCGGTCTCATGTAAGCATAGTGTCTCAATAAACTTCATCTGCGCATACAGATTTCAGGATTTAACAAGCATGGATTGTATTGACTTCTGAAGTTTGGAAACGTTGTATTCACACAAACACACCTTTGAAAAGATTCCTGCATACTTTGTGAATAAACCCTGAGGTTAGTTTACGCGTTCACTTGGTGTCCACAATTGATCAGGTGTTTCAGAATTAAAAGTTGTCTGCACAGTTTTGTCCTCTGTTAAAAGGATGAGAAAATATTACAAAGGATTAAAAAAACATTATGGCTACAAATAGAAAATTAAAAAGTTCAGTCTTTTATTTTCATCGAAAAGGAGGGAAATTCAGTCGGCGATTTCTGTCGAAATTGCTCAACATTTAAACGGATTCTTTTCTTAAAAATTTCTTTACATTCTCAGTGGAACACCTAGGGCTTCAAGCTAGAGGCTTGAAGTTTCGGTAGCAGTGCTGGATGTTTTTACAGGATGGGGTTGCTAGCCTCATGCCCAACCTTCCCTCTTTACCAATCTTATTACTAGCTAAGGGAGGTAAAGAAGTGCATCGGTGGCCGGGGATCGGACCCTGGACCACGTGAGTTGTGGTTGACGAGCATTCTACCTATGTGCCATCGATGCACAAACAGATTCATTGATCCATGAATTCTTTTGTCTCCAGCTTATTTTCAATTAAACCTCATGGTGATAAAGACTACCAAGCAAAACTGTTTATAGTTTCTTTGTAATGTGCATCAGTGGTGAAGCTGTCGTATTATCAAGTCTGACGTGAAACATCTTGGATTAATTCTTTCTTTTGATCTATCCTGGTCTTCTCACGTCTTAATGATTCCTAGTAAAATATTCCGTCTGACATTTTACATTAAGAAGTTAAAGCACTCAGGCATAACTCAACCAAACCCTCCTCCTCTTATAGTTTGTCAACTCGTGCATCTCACCTATTCACACTCACTTATTCTTTCCTGGATTGCTTAAAAAAGGCTATGTCATACTTCGCAGAACTCTGAATACTAGTCAGTAGGGCAAGTGATATCCCATCGGGCCATATCGTTGACATCATCATTGATAGGCACTTGATTTCAGGCAATAAATTTGCTAAACGGATTTTGTCAGACTGTGAGCATCCAATTTACTTACCCGCGGTTTCACCTCGTGTTTCCTCAGGTAAAACAAGATGTCATTTCAAAAGACTTTATACACGGTCTGTCTAAGTATAAAAATCCCACGATACCATATATTTGGCGGCACGTATTTTATGTGATGAAAATAGTGTTAGGCATGAACTAACTGACTAACCTTATTTGCACTATTAAATAAACCATTTTCTCCACCCTTATATCACTAATCAAGCTTTACTGTTATTGTACTTCTTATATTTATAATCCTCTCAATTTGTTGTTGTTTATTTTCTCATAAGTGTGAACATCATTTAAGCTGTATTATAACTGTTAATTTTGTATTTCCCCTCACCATACTGTCTCAACAGAACATTAGATTCAATACTCTATAACATGCTAAAATTTCCAAACTGAATCGACAATATTATTTGAAACAAACCCACTGTTATTATTATTATTATAATATTTATTATTCTCATTTTGTACTTTGCACATTTTTGACATTATTCCTACTGTATATGTGAACAAATTCGTATGGTTAATTTTATTTATATTTTGAGTAAATCAGATGCAATATTGTGACAAATGCTGAGAATTCCATTCTGTATTATAAGTAATGTTTTTGGAATGAAGTAGATTATTATTATTAATATTACTATTTTTACGAGTTGATCACGGACTGATATCAGTTAGAGAACCATTGAAAACCAGCTCGGAGTACTGGACAGCTGTTTCATCCTAGTTCGGGAATCATTGACAGGCAAGCTCGTATACCATTCAGCCACTGGGACCCGATTCAATGGCTCATGAATTCTAACTTCTACCAATTCGTGATACACTTAGCGCGACCACCAACCATTGTCGTAGGTGGGACATACATCCTCACACGTGACAACTGGATGAACCTAACTGGTCACAATTTCTCACTAGAACTCACTCCAGCTAGAAGTACTGGACAGCTGTTTCATCCTGGTTTTCAATGGTTCTCTAACTGATATCAGTCCATGATTAACTCGTAAAAACAAAACTAACCCCTACAAACCAAACTAAAGAAAATTATTACTATTGTTATTATCCTCGCCAACCACTCGGGATCAACTACTCCTCCTCCATCTGTCCGGTGCACTGCTAGTTCACTTGCACCTTCACATCGACTAAATTACCTTCCTTACCTAACAACATACTCTACGATGCCTAACCTCACTCAATATTACTACTCACCATATTACTATGCCACCACATAACACCAGAAATAGAGAAGACAAACACATCTGTAGCCAAAGACAGCTAGTCTCTTCACATACATCCTCCACTTTTAATGACATCCATGTCTCAAACCCGTAAAGAAGGGCAAAGGAGATTACAGCGCAGCAAAAACATCCTTTGATAAATAACCAGAAATGACGTTAGCTGGTAAATACCCCCCTCCTCCTCCTACTACTACTACTAATAATAATATTGTCAGGGAAATAAGTAGTATAAGTAGTACACCGTTCAGATTTAAACACTTACCATTATCCAACTGTTACGCGGTTACGTATACACACCAGATGAGAGACCACATGATGCATTAATAAGTATAAACATTCCATCGTTGTCATAACAACCTAATTTTACACTGAAATTAAGAAAAACAAACAAAACATGAAATTAAGTTAGGGCATTCAAGATAAATCACGGGAGTCGGTGGCACATAGGTAGAATGCTCACCGACCACGTCTCATGTGGTTCGGAGTTCGAGCCCCTGCCACCGACGCACTTTTTTACCTCGCTAAGACTGGTAAAGAGGGAAGGTTAGGCATGAGGCTAGCAACCCCACCCTGCAAAAATAAACACTCCTGCTACAGAAACCGCAAGCCTCTAGCTTGAAGCCCTATGTTCCACTGGGAACGTGAAAGGAATAAAAAAAGAAATAAATCACCTTTTTAGAAAATGTCATCCAATTCCCTCTCGCAGCAAAGAAAAGGACGAGAAAACGAAACATTCAACTGTGGTAGAAAAGAAGAAAGTGTTTATTTCTCCTAATCAAAGAAGCAGCAACATCACAGAAGATCGACAAGAGAAAGAGAGGAAAAATAAAAAGATGCCTTACTGAAGCTAAGCTCGTAACGCTACACAGCACTACATGCTCTATATGCCAATCTAAACTGGAAAAATACCTCCAGCTGCATTTATAAATTTACGCGCACTTGCGAAAGCAAGAACATTGGAAGGACAGAAAGAAGGGCTTCTATCCAGTTTTCAGAGCATATTTCAAGAAACTTATGCCTAAAACAAGGAAGTAGATATTCTTAAAATGCAATTATCAGACACACCTTGTAGATACACGGGTCATTTCGTTGAGATTTCCAAATTCTTTAAAATATTAAACCTACAAAGGACAGAAAATTTATTACGACTTGTTGAAACAGTGTTGTAATGAAACGTCGTCTCGTATCAAACTTATGCACATACAGAAAGAGAGTGTAATCAATCTATCACTCCCTTGTTATAAATGCATTTTGATTATATTGATTAGTCATCCCATCATGTTAGTGATTTCAACTCAGTGAGCAAGTTTCCAACTGTTTGAACTATAACCTTCTTGGAGTGCTATGTGAACCTACATGTTAACGCTGTTTATTAGATTTTTCTGTTTTCTATCTCCTCCCCCTCTGCTTTGCTGTTTTGAAAGGCATATAATTTGATGTTAACTTAAACTAAGAACACAATATTCAGCGAAGGGACTCTTTTCAACAACGAATTTATTATCAAGCTGTACAATCGTATATACATATATATATTGCTTTTAAGAAAATATATCTGGTGAGGGAATTAGGTCAAAGGTGTGAATACATGAAATAATAATAATAGTAGTATGAAATGCAATTAAAATATTTGTGATTATAATCATAGTTAAATGTCAAGTAGCAAAACAATCAGTGTCATATACAGAATAATTCATAAGGTGTATAGATGTTGGAAAGGGGTGCATAATTATAGGATTAGTAGGCGAATATAAAAAATGTTACACAACATGGTGTGAAATTTTATAAGATAGAATTCAGTGTTATAAGGAAACATTTTGGATTTAGAATGATAATTGGGACAAGCGGAGACAATTCAGAGTGACAATAGTAATAATAATAATAATAATCGTAGTAGTGAGGGAAAGGTATATAAAATAACTAAATAAACATAAATAAATAAATATCTATCCCTCTACGGCCAAGACAGAAGTAGAGATTGTACATACTTTTTTTGTACACAAAGGTCTGGTTGGCTTAAAATCATGAATTGCCAAGGTCTCCGCTGTCTTTAGAAGTTTGTAACGAAGAAAAGGTGGCAAGTTAGCATGGATTCGGCAGATGATGACTTTAATATCATGGTCAGGGTTGGCAGAGTGACAGAAATCGATCAGGTGTTCTAGAATAGAGCTTCGCACACACTTCCTTTCACCCTTGTAAAACCATGCTGGAATACGTTCTCGTATCTGTGTGGAAAGCGTCCTCTTACGACGGCCAATGTACCTTGCTCCACAAGAGCAGGTGAGCTGATAGATGCATATGGAGGCAGCCAGACGGAGGAGCTTATCTTTTACAACTAAAGCCAGTTGCAATGCCGATATTTCGGATGCGTTAATTTTATGCTCCTGTCCATCCCAAGCAAAATACTAAGCCGCATCATCCTGGAGAAAATCAAACATGCCAACCTGGATGAAAAAATTCGACCGGAACAGGCTGGATTCAGGAGAAACAAGTCATGCATTGATCAGATCGCCACATTACGGATCATCATTGAACAAAGCTTGGAATGGCAGTCACCTCTCTATCTCACTCAACTTCATCGACTTTGAAAAGGCCTTTGACAGCGTCGACCGAGAGGTGATTTGGAAACTACTTCGCTACTACGGGGTGCCACCGACAATTATACATCTCATCCAACAGCTGTACGACAATGCTGCATGCCAAGTAATCCACAACGGGAAACTTACGGAACCCTTCGAAGTGAGGACAGGAGTAAGACAACGCTGCCTACTATCGCCAATGATTTTCTTGATTGCAGTAGACTGGATAATGCGACAAACAGTGGGCAATGAGGAAACAGGCATAAAATGAACTCACACAAAATACTTGGAGGATCTGGACTTCGCCGATGATATATATCTGATTTCCCACAAACTGGAAGATATGCAAGCGAAAAGCAACAAGTTAGCAGAAGAAGCATCAAAGATAGGACTTCAGGTGAACATAGAGAAGACAGAGGTGATGAAGATTCCTGGACAAGAACAACAACAACAGACAACGATCAGCATAAATGGAAGGAACCTGAAAGAAACAACCTCTTTTACCTACCTAGCTGGGAAGCATCGTTTCAACTACAGGTAGACGGAACTGACGAGGATATCAAAGCAAGAAGCGGAAAAGCAAGACAAGCTTTCACTACTCTCAAGTCTGTGTGGAGGTCAACAGCACTCAGCATCAAAATGAGAATAAGATCCGGATTTTCAACTCCAATATGAAGTCAGTGCTACTCACTATACGGATCAGAGACTAGCACTGCGCGTCATAAAGAGCATATCAAACGAACTACAAACCTTCATTAACAGTTGTCTTCGCTCAATACTCAAGATCAGATGGCCGCCCAGAAAAGATCAGCAATAGAGATCTTTGGGAGCGAACCAACCCAGCAGGAACCGATTGTGAAACAAATAGGCAGGAAGAAATGGAGATGGATTGGCCATACTCTGAGGAAACCATCAAGTGACATCACTAGACAAGCCATTGCTCGAGTGGAACCTGAAAGGGAAGCGGTGAATTGGTCGTCAGTGCAAGGGTGACTTGGAGGAGGTCATGTGAAGAGGAGATGAAAACGTGTGGGCAGACATGCAGCCAGGTGAAGACGCTAGCAGAGAACCGAACTCAATGGAGACGCACGGCTGAAGCCCTATGTTCTTTTAGGAATTAAAGGATACAATAATAATAATTTTATAATGTTTTCTTTACGGCTATTTAAACACTGAAGTATGTTATTGTCACTAATTACAACCACTGTGTAATTTCAGGTAGTTTGCAGCTGATGAGAACTTGTGAAATAGAATGATGATGGTATTATTTTATACTTATCAAGGGAATTAAATGTATGAAATGTGCTCATTTTTCAGATTATTATTTCGTGGATCCTTCTCAACTACTTACAACTTAAGCAATACCAAAACATATCAGTTATAAAACAGAGGTTAAACATACTATTATGACGCACGAACGAACCAGGAACTAACCGCCCAACAAATATGAAGAAGGAAATACAGATTGGTTGGATACACTCTAAGGAGGTCGTTGAGTGATATCACACGATAGCCCCTAAAGTGGGACCTGAATGGCAAGCGACGTGAGTTAGGCGTGGGTTCAAAGGGGAAATGGCTGAGAGTATGTAGAAAGGAGGGAATGAAAGCTTACGGGCAATTGTGAAGCCAGTTATAAACGACTAGACACATTACCCTAGTTACTAACCAGAGTTCAATCAAAGCACCCAATACAATCAATCCTACAGGAGGTCAATCGTGAGCCCGAATAGCCAGCTCAGTGGTAACGTTTATGACTTCAGTACTCACTGGGTGACGTGGCTTACAACCTCAGAAGGTTCCTTTGAGGTTGCAGATACGCCTTGCCAACTACCACGAATTATCGGTCCAAGGCATCCTGCCGATTATCTCCAACCATCTAACATCAACAATTCAAAGTGCACCGTGATGGTGAGCCACATTGCAACCTGACTGTCAGAATTCACTCCGCACCAAACCAAGGAAATGACACTAGTTACTGACTAGTATTCAATCAGAGTAAAAAGAAAAGACTGCAGAGAGAAAACTGAATTGGTAATGTGCCGCTAAAGCCCTGTGTTCCGCTCTGAACCCAAGTGAATAAAAATAATAATAATATAATTAATTCTTAAAACAATTGACTATTTATGGAGTAAGTAAGTGAATATTCTTGATAAAAAACAGCGGCGAAGTTCAAAATTTTGAAAAGAAACAAAGTTCAATGTTAGTCTGATAGGTTGCGAAACTAAAATAACACGAGGGGTAGAGTGTGTGACATACAAATGGGAAAATAAATCAACAAATGACCTCACATTACCAACCTGATACATTTGTTATTCTTGCATTACTCAAATTGTCCTTTGATCTGTTTATTCAGCGAAGAAATTGAGTGATAGGTGTGTGTTTATGTGTGACATAACACCCATTAGTTGTACACCACTCAACCTTAACTTATAGATAATTTTGAAAGACGACTTTTGTGGAACTGCATGGTGTGAGTTCACCAGCTGCTTGACAATTGAGTTAACTAATAATTGTCTTGCATTTTATTTTTGATAACCATGCTGAGATGCGTTTATTTTTCACCTTCACACACACACAATTTGTCATATAAACCACTCCAACTACCTTACTTCTTCTCATTTAACCAATGACAACCACTTCTGAGAAATTGCATCATATATCATAATAGACTACTGCTCGAATAATAATAATAATTCGCTCTATTCCAAGACAGTACTTATAACAGAGTGTGTAATTCTCAGCAATTAGGACTTTATTGCATCTAATTTTACTCAACAACATCAAAAACAGAAAAAAAATACATTTCAAGGTATAGGTGACCAAAGTTGATAATAACAGCTGCTTTGGTATTAGCAGTGACAATAAAGTCAGAAATGTACAATAAGTGTAAAATAATGTTAATACTTAAAATTACAAGTTAACTGAAATAGTGTCACCATATACATTGGTGAAACCATTTTGCTAAAATCAGGCGTGAGGCTAGCAAACCCACCCTGTAAACAAAGCTGCTACAGAAACTTCAGTACGATGAATCTTCTTGCGCCAAAAGAAAAAGTCTTTGTGGGGACATGGAACGTCCGCACCATGTACGAGATTGGCAAAGCTGCCCAGATTGCAAACGAGATGAAAAGATACGGGATTCAAGTACTGGGGATATGTGAAAGCAGATGGAACGGGAATGGACTCACCGAATTGTCAACGGGAGAGTCAGTGATCTACTCTGGTCACTCAGAAGACAACCACACGCACACCGAGGGCGTGGCTATCATGATGTCACTAACGGCAACGAAGGCCCTGATGCAATGGGAGGCGATCTCGCCCAGGATAATGACCGCCAGATTCAACTCCAAAGGAAGGAAAGTGTCAATTATACAATGCTATGCACCGACCAACAACGCAGACCTCGAAAAGAAAGAAGAATTCTACAGACAACTACAGGCAACAATGGACAATACTCCAGCTGGTGACATTAAAATACTAATGGGAGACATGAACGCCAAACTGGGTCCAGACAACACAGGAAGGGAACTCATCATGGGTAGAGAAGCTCTCGGAGAAATGAATGAAAACGGAGAACTCTTCGCCGACTTCTGCGCCTTCAATGAACTAGTGATTGGTGGTAGCGTATACAAACACAAGGATATCCACAAGGCTACATGGGTGTCACCAGATGGGCGAACCAAAAATCAAATTGACTTCATCTCAATCTCAAGGAAGTGGAGGCGCAGCCTACTAGACACAAAAGTAAGAAGAGGAGCAGACGTTGGCTCAGACCACTACCTCGTACAAGGGACAATCCAAATCAAATTAAAAGCTTTCAGAGAAACAGGAGCAACAGATAGACCACAAGCCAAGTTCAATACTCAAAGACTGAAGGACCAGGATACAAAGGACATCTTCACTGCAAGCATAAGGGAAAAAGCCGACACAAATCAACACTGGCGAAGAGGTCACAGTCGAAAAGCACTGGGACAACTTGAAAACAGTGTGGAGTCAAACCTGCATGCAAGTTCTAGGCAGAAAGAAGAGACAGGACAAACAGTGGCTCACTATGGACACTTGGAGACTAACAGAAGAGAGAAAGGTGGTGAAACAAAAGATTCTCCAGTGCACCGACGAGCAACAAAAACAGGAGTTAAATGCAAGCTACAAGACACTGGACAAAAGAGTAAAGAAGAGTCCCAGGGAAGACAAAAGAAAATATTATGAAGTCATGGCAAGTGAAGCAGAACAAGCAGCAGGCGAAGGAGACCTTGTAACACTCTACCAAACAACTAGGTGCCTTTCGGGCAAGAGTTCGTCACAAATTGAGCCAGTGAAAGATGCCGACTGAAAGTCAGTCACCAGAGAAGTGGAGCAAAGGAAACACTGGACTGAACACTTCAAAAGACTATTAAACCGACCGCCACCTGCAACGCACCCAACAATCCCAAAAACGGAAGCAGAATTACCAGTAAACATCAACCACCCGACGAGAACAGAAGTCCTGAAGGCAATCAAGATCCCAAGGACCCCAACCAGGACGCCTACACTTGCCTACGTGGCTTGAACTAACTATAATGGATTTCAATGACTGATGAAGCCATGTCGGTTTTGGTTTGTCCACCCGATCCTATGTCAGTCAACATTGGCCAAAGTCCATGAAGGCAGTGAGTCGGAATGAGTAACACATATCCTAACCATCTCGATTGATACAACTTGACAACTTCATCGATTGAATTCCCTATTCTAACAGTCGAAGCCTAACCTCAATATTGCTTATCCTATTATACCACCTAACATGGGAGATAAAATGCAAACACCTTTTATCAGAGACAGCTGATCTTTTCATATCTTCCATTTTCGTTGGACATCTCTCACAGCTGGCCATAAAGGAGGACGGAGCTAACCGTTAAGCAGTATACACATCCTTTGATGGGTAGCCGAATATCACGTGTACTAAGTCAGAGGTGATGTAAGTTGACATATGCGAAACAAGCCTTCTGTATCCATGCTGTGATACTGTCAGCGATCAAACTGTTGGGACTGGCTGATGCAACTTCCCAAATACGTGAAGTGGTCAACACGCTCTTCCAATTCACTCCCTATTTAATAATAATAATAATTTGCATTATTCCAGAGACAGTACTAGTTGTACAGTGTGGAATTCTCAGCACATATCTACAATATTTGCATCTAATTTTACAAACATTTAAAAGGAGTATTAAACAAACAAAAAAAAAGAATAAATCTAAAGACACCAACAACAACAAAAAACAAAAAAAACAGGAAAAACTAAAATAATTATAAATGCGAAAAAGTACCAAGAAGTAGAAAGGATAATAAACATCATATAATAATAACTCAGTATTGGGTAGTGGAAGCTATGATATGATTATGCATGGTGACAGTAAAGCTATAGTCATACAAGAAGTTATGAAATGATATTTAAGAATGTTTATCGCCAAGATGGTCAGTTAATTTGATTGAAACAACTCTAAACAATCATAAAATAACATTTCAGGGTTGTTGTTTTGTTTTTTATTGTCAGGTCTAATGCACTGTTTGTTTGTCAGTTTAATATTGCCGAAAAGTATGGAAAATAAGAAAAAACAACCACAAAACTAATAATAACATGATGGTTAATGTCAGGACAATTTTGTAATACTCATAGTGCTAATAGAGTCGGAACCAGTGGATACACAATAGAAGGAATATAGTAAAGTACAAAAAAGGAAGCCAATGTTAGTATTTTAGGTAGCTAAGTATGTTTAAGAAGGTGTTCACCATAGAATACAAAATAAGAGAGAAATAAAAGAGCCTAAAATTATGCTATTAACAACAAAGAAAGTCATAGGTTTCGCGCTTAACATTGTCTCTGTCGTTTACAACACGGGCCAAGTATGGTATCGTTGAGTTCCTGTACTTGGTTGTACGAGCATAGATTATTTTATACTGATTTCTGGCTTTACTTGATGAGATACAAGGCGAGAGTTGGGAATAGAGGGGATGTTGGGGGTCAGAGAGTATGGTTTTAGACCATTTTTCGCATGTATTCAGATGCCTATCAACTAATGTAGTGACGAGCTGACTGAGTTTTACACCACTAGTCCTACTGACTACCTTCAACATCCTTCTCAGGATGGTATAGTCCTTTTTCAGTAGACCAGGAAAAACTAACGGGGAGCAGTAAAGTAGAATAGGTAAGATACAAGAGTTGACAAATTGTGAAAGTAGAGGTTGGGTGATTCCAGATTGTCTAAGTTTCTTAATGTAGTAGGTAAGACAGAACACTTTCTTAGAAATCATTAGGATATGACATGTCCAAGTAAGGTTGGAAGATAGAACTAGACCGAGGTATTTTGCATTAGACTTAGTTCCAATTAGTTAGTTTCATTTCTAAGCCAGAAGTCAATGTAGTCCAGTCCTTGTTGTGTGACAGTCGATAATGGATAATACTCAGTCACTCAGGTTGGAATAGGCAGAGCAGGGTTCGAACTCGAGGTCTACAAGCTTAAAGTCGACTGCTAAAGTCAATAAAATACAACAGTATTATTTACAACAATAAACACATATTACAACTTCGCATACCTGAAATTTGTCCTTTCTTTATCATCAACATGACAACTTAACGCTGATCCATACTCAGACTTGAGACTATTCAAAAAGGCTGTACGATTCTTTTCAACAATTCCAATTACATTGTATACACTTAAAAGATTCAATTTTTTATTCATATAATCCACATAAGGTACTAGCAGGATAACAGAGACTTCTAATTTTGTAATATGAAATTCTAAATATTGTTGAGCTGCTAAAATGATTGGTTCTGAGTAACCTGATATTAGACTGGATGAATTTTCATAATATTTGACGAAGTCCCAACCAGCTAGATTTTCGAAGAGAAAAAGAAGTATAGTGTTATTTGATAATTGAAAAAGTAAAACATTATACCACTAAAGCTATAAAAATCCATCAGTATATGACACTACAACATTGTTAGACAGCAAACGATAATCTCAATAGAAATATTGAGACAAATACTCGCCGAAGACATTGGCTAGCTGTCGCGCTATGTCGTGAATTGACACAGAAGTTAGAATTCATCCACTGGCCATTGGATCGGATCCCAGTAGCTTAATGGTCTACGAGCTCAAGTGGTAGCCAGAAGGCCCTGGGTTCGGACCCTGGTGGGCGCGTACTGATGAAGACTCCCAAACTAGACTGACGAAACAGCTGCCCAGTACTCTAACCAATGTCAGCTCATGATGAAATCCTGTAACCAAGAAATTTTGGTGTTATGAGCCAAAAAATATATTTGAGTATTTGAAGTGTAGGTAGGTAGGTTTGCCGGGCATTTTGGATTGGTATCAGTTAGAGAACCATTGAAAATCAAAGAGTACTAGTTCTGCTCAATAGTGAATACCTACGCAATGTAGTTGCCTAGAATTTTAGGGAGTAGTTGTGACCAGTCAGGTTCAACAGTTCGGTAGTGAAAACAAGTATTCAACGATGACACTGGGTCATTGTTGCGCTGTCTGTCTGGATTCAACATAGAACTTGGCACCGAAGTGCAGCAGTTCGAGTTGCCATGTTCCAAAGAGCACACAAAGGTAGACAAGAAAATGAGTGAAGAGAATCAATAGAGTTTTTGACAGGTATAAGAGTGAAACAGAATGAGTAATGGTAGAAAGGAATATGAAAGATTACAGAGACTGAATACATCTGCGTAAGCCATTGACAACGATTTTGAGCCATGTCACCTAGTGTCTCCAGACATTGATTCTTAGAGTCCCGAGGGCCCCAACCCGGAAGTCAACTTCGCACCTATTTGGGAAGTTGTATCAGCATTGTTGCGCTATAAATCACAAATTGGCAGAAGTCAAAATTCACAAGACTTTGGATTTTGTCTCAAACTTTGAATGCTCAACCGTTCTGTCCCACTAATACATGAGTGTCCTGGGTTTGATCATCTCCAGTAGAGTGCATAAGTGTGTACTGATGAGTAGCTCCAAACTGAGACGAAACAGTCATACCCGTGCTTCATGGTTTTCTAGCTTATCATAGATTATGACTTAACTTAAAGTACTTAACCATTTATCACTGAGATAATTTGTACGGAACACTGGAGACTAATATTTCAAAATCCTTAGGCGAGACATAACTCATAAATGATGACAACCACAATAAATGAGCTCATCTTTTCATTGCCTTCAAAATTATAGACATTTTAATTAGTGTACAGACTGTATTACTCGAATAAAACAAAAGATAATCAGAGTAGTGTGACTCTTTTCAGTGATGAATTCTCAAGCTATGTAATCATAGACGTATGGACAAAGGGCTTGTTGGATGTCCTGGATGTCTGGCCCCATTCAAAAAGGCGTATGAACCGAACTCCGGTCACCGGCTGCCAATGGATAGTGGACTCCCTACTCCACTCCTACTGCCTTGTAGGTCACACTTGGTTGTGTAAAGGCTAGAGCGGCACTCTCAAACAAAAGGCCGAGCGATTCTGGGGACATCACTCGTACCAAATTCCCATGAAACTTCATGAACTCTCTTACAAACGATTCGAGATGTTCATGAAGCCGGCTCATCCTCCCGTAGGAGATAGCCGAAGTAAAGTAAAGTATAAGGTAAAAAAGTATTGAGTAAAGAAATATATTTACTTCCCGATACGAATTTAAAACAAGCAATAAAGGTTAATAAAGCAGGACTCGATGAATTCATCAAATTTCGGTAGAACTCGTCAGCTGAATACTCTACATACACGGATATATATACTTTTGAAATTACATTGGGAGATATAAGATTGATAAGTATATATATACATATATATATATATATATATATATATAGCTTTTACTGTCAGGATTTAAACCTGGGGTCCACTGAGTGAAAACCAAGTACTCAAAACACTCAGTTACATTCCTCTTGGAAAGATATACATATATATGCATATATAGGTTGAAGACTGGCAGAAACACAGAACTTTCTGTGTGCTTTGGTGTAGTGGAAACAATTAATGGACAGTATTTATACTAAGAATTATGATTACTAGATAAATGTTGATATACAAGAGAGAATCTTGGCGGTTATTTGTCCAAATTCTATTCCTGGCTGATGTATCTTCTTAATCCCATCGAGTTTACTAACTAACCGATTATAAACTTCTAAAAGAGAGAAGGTTGGATGTGAGACTATCAGCACCATCCAGTGAAAAAACAATACCAAACACTACTGGATGTTTAAAGCTTATAGTCGTATGCTCAACTCAGAACTCAAAGAACTAAGTCAAAACTACATTCTTTAATTTGTGATGTTTCTAATATATGACAATATTCCATGCTATTTATAAAGGAGAAACAAATAAATCAGTTGGGAGAGACTTCAGGCAATGACCCAAATATCTATCAAGGTACTCAACGCTAGGAAAATAAAGATAAAACATGCAGTTCTAATAGTTCATTAAAAAAAGGAGTAAGTGCTTACAGGTCTTTAGCTTGTCACATATAAATTTCTGATGCATATCCATAATTATTACTATTTATTTCATCAGCTGGAACAGAAAGAAAACACGCGTCAGTATATATTTAATAACCACAACATTGGTAGTAATCAATAGTTTCTTTTAACATCGACTGAAGTATCGTACTGTAGAGAGCTGTAATTCAGTTGCACCTAAGATTTTTCAAAATACTGTTGCTGCTGCTGATGGATTCAACATAGAACTTGGCACCGAAGTGCAGCAGTTCGAGTTGCCACGTTCCATATAGCACACAAAGGTAGACAGGAAAATGAGAGAAGAGAATCAATAGAGCTTTTGACAGGTATAAGAGTGAAACAGAATGGGTAATGGTAGAAAGGAATATGAAGGTTAAAGAGACTGAATACATCTGCGTAAGCCATTGACAACGATTTTCAGCCATGTTACCTAGTGTCTCCAGCCATTGATTCTTAGAGTCCCGAGGGCCCCAACCCGGAAGTCTGCATCTCCCTACCTGACTCAGTTTAACTGTCAGGGATTTCATGGATTGATGAGGCCATGTTTTTGTTTGGCCACCACTTACTCTTTTCCAACCTGCACCTTAATCAGCTAGTAATGCCCGTCGGGGGAGACGATGGCTAGGCATGCGCAGCACGTGACCTAACCATCTCAATCTATGTAACTTCATAGCCTCTTCGATTGATTTTCCCTCTTTGCCCAACACTCTACGCCTAACGTCAACATTACTTACCTTATTATACCACCTAACGCGAGAATTTCAAAATACTGTGATTACCGCACAGGGCTTCTAAATGCATAGATGAGGATGTTTCAAGTTTCTCCACCTAACTTTATTTAAACAAAAAATAGATACAACTTTTGCACCAAGACATGCGCCACATGAAAACAATGAGACATAATATATTGATAAGAAGCAGAGTGATTGAGGAACATCATAAAAACAGGCAAGCACACTTATTAAGAGTATTTAAGAAACGTCCATCAATAAGAGAGGAATTTGCAACAGTTTGCCAATGATTGTGGTTCTCGGCCAAATACCACCCAGGGAGTTATGATACATCAACGCATAACTATCTAATACAACTGTCTTTTATCCCACGTCATTGGATAGTCGTCCACCCCCCTCCCAACTCTTTTGCATGACAGGAACCCTCTATTCCGATGAAGTGATCCCGGCTCCATCTGGCCAAACTGGATCTCCATTGAGATACTTATCGCAAAGATTAAACCTGATTACAAGATCATACTATCTCTTATTATACGAATGTCATTTGGTCGAACGCCTTACAATGGCAAGCCAGGAAAGCTAACGCACAGAGGTTGAACCCCCATGTGGTTATTTATGAATGTAACGATGTCACCTTTGTGATACGACATCTTTAGCTGCAGGAAGTAAGTCAGACGGCATAACATTACTGCATGTTGAAAAACTTTGTTACGCGTTCAAGAACCCTTGTGAAGTTAAGTGTGTTTTTGGAACTCATATGCAAAGCTTATATACCACTCTGAGCTTACCCGCTCTTATCCGGCCTTGGAACGGCCTTCACCTTCGGAAAACAGTTTGACAAAATTCCCTATTTAAACAATGTTAGAATAAACATTAAGCAAAGATACATGAATTTCCCTCACATTATATGCAGTCACTCCGCTTAAATGTATGAAAACTCACATATATTTGGATGGGCAGTGAGTGAGGATCAACTCAGTCTACGTTTGAAAAATTAATATAAGACATATAATTTCTAAGTTTATCTACATCATCTGAACATCACCTTTTCTGACCAAGCAAGGGACAAACGTGGTCTATCCCCAGCTCTGATTTGGTGCATATTTTAGATACAGAGCATAAAAATGATGTGAACAAAACTTTTAAAATTCTATATCGTGTTCCGATTAATGTTATTTATGCCTTGCGAGTTTATTTACTGTTGAGGAAATTGCCTAAAGCATAAACTCATATAAGCGTTTAAAAGCCTTTTGAATTGCTCATGGTATTCTTAAAGCCTTGACTGAAGCTGTTTTCAAGTTATGATTAACAGTAATTCCCATACCTTCATACCAGGCACTTTTTAAAGCGATCACATTGATAATTATCCAAACCAAGCCCCTTCGGTCTACTCAAGAAACCCGGGTGGGACATATTATCGGATACTTCGCCAATGATAATGTGCGACGACTATGTGGAGATCGTTTTTCAGTAGATTATGTCTCAGGAAACTTACTAATATGCCTTGAACATATACTACAAGTATCTTCTATGTGACACCCACACTGTTTGGTAATTGCTAGTCCTTGAACCGAGTGGAAACAGTTGGGAGGAGGGTGGGTGATTAGCCAGTGACGTGGGATAAAGGGTGGTTGCATTGGATAGTTATGTTTTGATGTATCATAGCTCCCTGGGTGGTAATTTGGAAGATAATCAGAATCATTGATGTAAGGATAAAACTTGTGCACTGTGATTGTTGTAGAGCATAACTCCATTATGGATAAGATTTTATTTTGATAAATCACACAGTGTTGTACAGTAATATCAGTTAATATTGCCGTACAACACTGTGTGATTTATCAAAATAAAATCTTATCCACAATGGAAAAATCAGAATCAGTGGCTCGAAACATTTTATTTGCCCGGAATAGAGGTTTCCAGTCGTGGAAACAGTTGGGAGGGGGGGTAGATGACTAGCCAATGACGTGGGATAAAAGACAGTTGTATTAGATAGTTATGCGTTGATGTATCATAACTCCCTGGGTGGTATTTGGCCGAGAACCACAATCATTGGCAAACTGTTGCAAATTCCTCTCTTATTGATGGACGTTTCTTAAATACTCTTAATAAGTGTGCTTGCCTGTTTTTATGATGTTCCTCAATCACTCTGCTTCTTATCAATATATTATGTCTCATTGTTTTCATGTGGCGCATGTCTTGGTGCAAAAGTTGTATCTATTTTTTGTTTAAATAAAGTTAGGTGGAGAAACTTGAAACATCCTCATCTATGCATTTAGAAGCCCTGTGCGGTAATCACAGTATTTTGAAATTCTCGCGTTAGGTGGTATAATAAGGTAAGTAATGTTGACGTTAGGCGTAGAGTGTTGGGCAAAGAGGGAAAATCAATCGAAGAGGCTATGAAGTTACATAGATTGAGATGGTTAGGTCACGTGCTGCGCATGCCTAGCCATCGTCTCCCCCGACGGGCATTACTAGCTGATTAAGGTGCAGGTTGGAAAAGAGTAAGTGGTGGCCAAACAAAAACATGGCCTCATCAATCCATGAAATCCCTGACAGTTAAACTGAGTCAGGTAGGGAGATGCAGACTTCCGGGTTGGGGCCCTCGGGACTCTAAGAATCAATGGCTGGAGACACTAGGTAACATGGCTGAAAATCGTTGTCAATGGCTTACGCAGATGTATTCAGTCTCTTTAACCTTCATATTCCTTTCTACCATTACCCATTCTGTTTCACTCTTATACCTGTCAAAAGCTCTATTGATTCTCTTCTCTCATTTTCCTGTCTACCTTTGTGTGCTATATGGAACGTGGCAACTCGAACTGCTGCACTTCGGTGCCAAGTTCTATGTTGAATCCATCAGCAGCAGCAACAGTATTTTGAAAAATCTTAGGTGCAACTGAATTACAGCTCTCTACAGTACGATACTTCAGTCGATGTTAAAAGAAACTATTGATTACTACCAATGTTGTGGTTATTAAATATATACTGACGCGTGTTTTCTTTCTGTTCCAGCTGATGAAATAAATAGTAATAATTATGGATATGCATCAGAAATTTATATGTGACAAGCTAAAGACCTGTAAGCACTTACTCCTTTTTTTAATGAACTATTAGAACTGCATGTTTTATCTTTATTTTCCTAGCGTTGAGTACCTTGATAGATATTTGGGTCATTGCCTGAAGTCTCTCCCAACTGATTTATTTGTTTCTCCTTTATAAATAGCACGGAATATTGTCATATATTAGAAACATCACAAATTAAAGAATGTAGTTTTGACTTAGTTCTTTGAGTTCTGAGTTGAGCATACGACTATAAGCTTTAAACATCCAGTAGTGTTTGGTATTGTTTTTTCACTGGATGGTGCTGATAGTCTCACATCCAACCTTCTCTCTTTTAGAAGTTTATAATCGGTTAGTTAGTAAACTCGATGGGATTAAGAAGATACATCAGCCAGGAATAGAATTTGGACAAATAACCGCCAAGATTCTCTCTTGTATATCAACATTTATCTAGTAATCATAATTCTTAGTATAAATACTGTCCATTAATTGTTTCCACTACACCAAAGCACACAGAAAGTTCTGTGTTTCTGCCAGTCTTCAACCTATATATGCATATATATGTATATCTTTCCAAGAGGAATGTAACTGAGTGTTTTGAGTACTTGGTTTTCACTCAGTGGACCCCAGGTTTAAATCCTGACAGTAAAAGCTATATATATATGCATATATCGTTGTCCAAACTGTTATATTTCTGACTACTTCTTGTTTAATCGCTTACCACGTAATCAACTCGAAAACTCCTTTATTCCTTAATTACTCTTCATTTTTCCGAAATTATGAATTATACAGTACACTTGTTGCAATCATTTCTACCCCTCAGTTATTTGTATTCATTTTGTGCGTGGTTAGTTATCACCTCGCTAACATGTTGGTATTGACTAATTGCTGTTAACAAACAAACCATCACTAAATTGATAAAATGTCTTGTATTGTATTAAAAATGTTCTACGTAATAAATTAGAGTAGAGTCTGAGATAGGGATCTAATTGAAAAGTAAATATATTTAAAACAAGCAATAAAGGTTAATAAAGCAGGATTCGATGAATTCATCAAATTTCAGTAGAACTCGTCAGCTGAATACTGTACATACACGGATATATATACTTTTGAAATTACATTGGGAGATATAAGATTGATAAGTAAACAAACTACATTGAATTAGTCCCTCTGTTTGCAATTCTTGTTATATTTTCTAATGTCTGATTGTTTATCTTCTGTTCAAAGTTGTATGTTGAAA